AAATAGTGTGATTAATACTCCCCCCGTCCTTTATAACTTTGCCAACTTTCATTTTTTTGGATGTCCCACTAACTTTGTCATTTTCCCTTTTGAGTAAAGAATTTGTGCTTTCAGTTAATTCTCTCTCCTCTGCACAAATATCTACCACACAGTTTTTATTTTATTAATCTCTGTGCCGGTCAAACTTGACAAAGTTTTAAGGGACGGAAGGAGTATATACACTCTTTATTTTCTAGACAAATTTTAACTTCTCGGCTTCTACTTATATTCATCCTTAGAGCCGTACTCTTTATAGTGCATATGATGATATTGATTAAGCGAAATATTTTAAATCAAATAAAAAGAAGTCTAAATGCATAAAATGAGAATGCTTTTTGCTCATTTGATTGAGATCTGATGGCTCTAAAAGTGACTAAAATGAGAAGAAAGTTAGATTAAAAATGATGTGATGCTTTGGTAAATAAGAGGTCATTTTCACCACCGCAAAAAGTGTAGTAGTTTAATCTTAAGAAGCAATATATAAAGCGAACCAAAAGTAAAATTTTCCACTTGTTACGTTAAACACCCTTTTTATTTGAATCACGACATATTATAAAGTAAATATTTTTACATCTAGATGAGAACTATTTAGAAATTATAAAGCACCGTAACAATTGATCGTAAAAAGTCATCGTAATAGACATCATAATTATCACTAAATAATACGAAATACAAAATTATTAATCGATACCAATTTTTATGTAAAGTCGTGCGAGGAAAAATGTCTATCTCGTGATTATACGTCAATTAATATACCTTTAACAAGTACTATATTCATACTTCTAATACAATTTTCTATCATGTTTTAATTTTATACAATAAGTATGTGTATTCACGTTACTCATGAAATGAATTGCTTTCAGAAATAAAGTAATTCATTTTTGTAACACTGGAATTCCTTGAATCGGCTGAAATTAGTTAAATATTAATGACTAAAGCGGTTGAATTGGTTGAATCTATCGAATTACGAATAAAATAAAATATTTTCTTTCAATACACTAAAGAAGAAATATTATGGAAAAGAAATGAAATTGTCATCTTTCGGAAATTCAGTCAAATCACATAGAATAGTAACTTTATTCTTATTTATTTTGATTATTATATCATTGACTACGCGAAATCAAAAGTTGTATATTTTATAAAAAATTATTGATAAGATTAATAAGCTCAAGACATGAATTACTAAATCGACCGTTAAATTCATTCATATTTGTGCAATGCACGGGCTAGTTGCACTCATTTATATTAGAAAGAATGGCAAAAATATGACCTATGGACTTTGACTAGACAAAATTATGACCATTTTTCCTTTGGACAAAAAAGTGACCTAGATAAACAGCCCAGCCCATCTTCTTTGCACCGAGCGCAGCATCGATCTGGACTCTCTGCGCCTTCTATCTTTGCACATCGCGAACGTCTCTGGAGAGCAAATCGCGAACGTATCTGGAGTTTGGAGAGCACATCGATGGCCATCAATCTCCAACGCCGACTTCCACCTCTATCTTCTCCTTCTCCTTTCTTATTGATCACCAAATCTCGTCACCAGCTTCCATGGAGCTTGCCGTCCTTGAAAGATCTGATTTTTTTGCAAGACGATCTCATCGATCGGCGGCATCATTTCCTCTATGGCGGCCGGCTGTGGCCGGTGGCATCAGGTTTTGGCGGTGGCAGGGATGGGGGAACTTGGGGTCGGGGATTGGGATGGGGGAGCTGGGTCCAGGATTGGGATGGGGGATCTGATGATGAAACAGGGGCCAAGGAGATGGGATGGGGGAGTTGGGGGGTCGGGGGATGGTGGTTGGGGAGGGGGCTTGGGGAATGAGGAGGTGGCTGGGGGATTGGAGGGGTTGGACGCTAAGGAGGGGGAAGGTGACTGGAGGCTGCGCTGATGGTTAGGCTGGGGACGAGGGTTGTGAGTACGGGAGGGATCGTGTCACTATGGCCGGAATCGACGTGTCACTATGGTCGGAGTAGACGTGTCACTGTGGCGGTGTCACTGTAGCCTGTGGGCGGGTGGTAGACACCATAGAATGGAGTCACTATGGTGTTGTCACTGTAAAATAGTCACTGCAGCATTGTCACTGTAAAATCGTCACTGTAGCATCATTATTATAACTTTCAGTCACATTTTTGGAAATTTGAATAAAAGGTCATTTTTTTTGTCAACCACCAATTTATTAGTAATATTGAGGTAAAAACCCCCTATCTGAGGGGTTACTGCGGGGAATAACTAGAGAGAAGTTAGAGCAAAAGTAAGAGAGAGAATATATATTGCTGAGAATTCGTTGAGTGTATTGGGCATGAATTACAAATGGGGAAAAGAGTGCTATTTATAGTAGTAATAAATGCCAGATAGGAACACGTGTCATCATTCTGGTGGTCGAGGGGTCACTTCAGCGGGGTGGTACTGGCACTCGCATGTGGCCGCATTAAATGCGGTGGTTGGATGTGACGTTTGTACTTGGTACGTTGATCCGGCGCATGTGGGTGGGAGTTTCTGTCGAGGAGATGCCCTCGGCCGTAGATGATTGGCCGAAGGCTCTTCATACCGGGGGCCCCTAGGTGCCGAGGGCTCTAGGTGACGAGGGCTCCTGTTTTCGCCGCTTCCTGTCAGACACTTTGAGGGCTTTAAAGAAGTTGTACTGTTAGCTCATGAGCCTTCGGCCAGGGGGGGCGAAGGCACCCCAGTGCTCGTCGTGGGCTGCTTGGCACTTGGGGCGCTGTAATTTGGGCCTGCCATGCTTCCTGAGCCTGTTGGGCTTTTGCTATAGTAGTGGGAGTCTATGGGCCGGGGGTTCCTGGGCCATATACTCCATCAAAAATATAGCAAACCCTCAATAAAAAAAGGGAAAATTCCCGAAATAGGATTAAAAAAGTTTGATTTTTTTTTTTAGCTCCGGAAGGCAAACCACCAAAATCAGTGGGGTAAATGCCGGAGGTCATTTACTGAATTTTATTAATGGGAGGAAAATGAAAGTACAAGAAGAGGGGGACTAGGCCAAAACCCCTCCGAAGAAAAACAACAACAGGAAAGAACAGTATTGGGGGGCTATACCTGACCCAAAATAAAAGTTTGAAAGTTTCAAAATAGAACTGCCATGTTTTTATTCCCAAAATAGGAGTAATTACTCCCAGGTTTGAACAATACTGCCATGTTTAAATTCTGATACTGCCAAAACATGGCAGTAATTAGTCCTAGAAAGAATGACCGGAATAGTAGTGCTACGGTTATGAAAGACTAATATAGGACCACATATCAATTTGGACATAAATAAGAAAAGAGAATTACCTAGGCTTCTTCAACCGCCTCTCCATTTCTGCGGCCAATCCTTCGTCTCCTACTCTCCCCGATTTCATATTTGCAGAGAAGAAGGCTACTTCGTCGTCCGCTGCTCCACCCTCACACGCCATTACTGTTGCAAGCAACCTCAAATCCCTCGCTCGAAGTTCACATCTACTGATCGACATCATCTACTCATCGCACCGCGACCGTTCGAGCTCCGCTACATCGCACTGTGACCGATCAACCTCCGCTGCATCGCACTGCAACCGTTCGACCGCCGCACCTCCATCACCAAACTTTCTTCTCCTCTTCTCTCTAAATTTCTGCACAGCAGTGGAGAGCTCTACACCGGCTTCTAATAGGCTCGTACGACGGCAATCTTCACAAATCCGGTGGGCTAGGGTTTCGACGGTGGTGCGATTTAGGTCCCTGGGCGACGGAGGTGGGCTGCCGGCTAGGTTTAGGGGTGGTGGTGGTGTGCTGATTGCCGAGGGCTGTTGGATTGGGGCTGAACGCAGGTGGCTGGGGTTGGCTGTCGGCTGAGTTAGGAGGGGCGGTGGTGGTCTGGCTTTTGAGGGCTGGGGGGTGGCGACTAACGGTTGGGCCGGGGGCTGAGGGCATGGAACTAAGGCTGGGGCAGGGCTAGTGGGGGTGGGGCAAGCTGTGCTTGTGGTGGAAGAGCAGTGGTTTTCATTGTTGGTCACTGGAGTCACTATTTGTGGTAGGGACGGTGACTACATGAACGGGGCCGCAGTAGTTACTGACCGGGGGGTCGGCAATGACTTGTTGGGGGCGGAGGAGATGGTTGAAAATTATGTTACTGGACGGGCAATGTTGGTCATTGAATGGGTAGACGTTGGTTTCTGAACGGGCGGAAGTTGGTCACTGGACGGAAGTCATTGTGTCAATTGGTCACTGGACAAAAGTCACTGCACATTTGGTCACTGTGATGCGGGTCATTGGTGGGACGTATTAATTTTTTGTCACTGGATGAATTTTGTAACTATGCCATTGGTAACTGTAACACTGGTCACTGCACATTTGGTCACTGTGACGGGTCACTGTAGCAGGCCAGTGGGTTTGGGCTTAGTAAGGGTGTAAGAGTCCCTTAAGTATTATTCAGTCTTATTTTTGGAACTTAAAAGAAAAGTCTCTTTTTTTGTCCAAATGGTTTTAATTAGTATTATTTGAGGACAAACCCCTTAATCCTATTTTGGAAATAAAAATTTGATAGTCCTGTTTTGGAATATACTCCCTCTGTCCGGTCATTTCTTCCGATTTTCCTTTTTTGCCGTCTCAATTAATTCTTCCAACTTTCACTTTTGAAAAAAATATGTGGGTCACATTCATTCACTTTTTTCTTACATAACTACAACCATACATTTTTACTTTATTCTCACTACCTAAATTTGCGATACCGGTCAAAACCGGAAGAAATGACCGGGACGGAGGGAGTACAAAAGGTTTTAGTCTTATTTTGAGTAATTTCTCTAAAAAAACTCATAAGTAACTTTATATTAATGTTCAACACTTCAACACCGCCTCCCAACACCCTAGTGGGCTGCAGGTGTCCGGTCCAATAACAATGTACTTATAGTGTAAAAACCCTAAAACACCCCGAATTTGCATGCCGCCCTAAATGGACCTTTAAAGTCCATATCCACTACGGTCTCTACTTTGTTGATATGCATTACAAGTTGTAACTGTAAACTTAATTTCCCATTAAGAAAACAAATCCGTAGTCCATTATACTATTGGGTCCAAGCCCAATTCCTCTCTCCCCTCGCGCGGTCTCTCTCATCGCCTCCGGCGAGAACCCTAGATCCGGCTCGACTCCACGGCTGGAAATCGGTGACCGGAATCCATATTCGACAAACCAGAATCACGCGGGTTGTCCTCTGTGCTTTCCTGGAAAGATCGAATTTTCTGGTCTCGTTTTCTTCGAAGGCCTGGTTGTTTGTTTGGGCAGGTTTGGAATCTGAATCCTCATTCTGGATTTCTTCGTTTCTCACTTAGTTTTATTTTTCGTCTATAAGTACGATTACTCTGTGTTTTATCGGTTTCTTTGCTTTTGATAACCGATTTAGAAGATTCTGCGTTTCCCATGTATGCCCGGGAACACCTAACCTTATTGACTCCTATAACTGTCTACTTTGCTCCTTCATTGATTTACTTGATTTGATTGTTTCCAAAATCTAGAATTTTCGTGTTCATGAAATTGTGAAGTGTGCCTTCCCAGCTCACACCTTATGAATTATCAGATCTGATAATTTCTAAAAGTGCATAGTCGTTGATTCGTTATTCTAGGACCCTATTTAATGGTGGGCATTGCAATTTTTCCTTAATAAGGCTTTGATCACTTCAAGCTCATGTTAGATACAGTATTTGATATATTACAGCGCTAATTAACAAAGTGGTGTTTTTCTAGTGTTGTTGTTACTCACCCAACTAAGAGGTAACAATTCCACTGGTTGGATAAAGATTGCGTGATAATCAGCAATGTTAATATTTCAATTTGCCTGTGACTAGTAAATTATGTTAGACTTTAATGTTTTTTACTTCAATGTTTACTTTTTTGCCCACATCCTTGATTATGTTATTTACTTGTTCATTCAGTCTATCCATTTGTAGTTTCATGTTAGACATGATGGTGTGACCATATCAATTTAATAAAATACTTTTTCAGTTTTCTTTTTTGTGACTGTGTACTTTAATCTATTCTAACCAGATGTTTTCTTTCTGATATATTCTTAGTTAGTGCTTCTATGATTATTTGCTTTGCTTTGCTTTGAGCGTCATTCATCTCTCATATATGGTTTCACATACCATTACTTTTGTGTTTTTTGAAGGTTAATATTCTGGAAAAGTAAAGATGACTTCCCCACACATACCCATCGAGAACAACACCGAGCTTGTTGTAGTTCACAACGAAATGGTGATGGCTGATCACGAGATATTACCTGATGCAATGATGCTTAACAATGAGATAGTCCCGATGGAGATGCAAGACAACACTTTGGAAACACCCAAAATGCCCCCCAAGAAAGTCCGGAAAAAGAAGTCAATGGTTTGGGAGTTCTTTACCATTGAATCTGTTGGCGATGGATGCAGAAGGGCGTGCTGCAAACAATGCAAGCAATCATTTGCTTACAGCCAAGGTTGCAAAGTGGCGGGGACCAGCCACCTCAAACGCCACATCGCCAAAGGCACTTGTGCCGCCGTCCTTCGTAACCAACAACTGCTGAACAACAACAATAACAACTTGTTGTTTAGTGCACCGGCTAAGATGAGAGGTTACCGAGGTGGGAATGCCGCCTCAGGCCTGCCAAAGAAGCGTTACCGCACACCCACCACGCCTTTCATCGCGTTTGACTTGGACCGCTGTCGCCAAGAGATCTCCCGGATGACCATCATGCACGACTACCCACTCCACATGGTTGAGCATCCGGGGTTCATTGCCTTCGTTCAGACTCTCCAACCACAGTTTGATATGGTCAGCTTCAACGCCGTTCAAGGAGACTGTGTGGCGACTTACCTCAGAGAAAAACAATCTGTTCAGAGGATGATTGAAGGTATGCCGGGGAGGATATGCCTCACCCTGGATGTGTGGTCTTCCCACCTTAGGGTTGGCTATGTTTTCATAACTGGGCAGTTCATTGATTCGGAATGGAAGATTCACAGGAAAGTTCTTAATGTTGTCAGGGAACCTTTTCCAGATTCTGACACGGCATTCAGCCATGCCATTGCTGTCTGCCTCTCAGATTGGGGTATAGAGGGTAAATTGTTTTCTGTCACAGTCAATCAACCTCTGCTCAATCAGGCGGTGGATAACGTCCGGACATTACTATCCGTCAAGAACCCGGTCATTCTCAGCGGTCAACTCTTGGTCGGGAATTGTCTTGCTCATACATTAAGCAGTATTGCGGTGGACGCGTTGAGTTTTGCTCAAGATTCCGTGAAGAAAGTGAGAGACAGCGTGAAGTATGTTAAGACTTCAGAATCAAATGAGGAAAAGTTTCTAGAACTAAAGCAGCATCTTCAGGTTCCCAGTGCGAAGAATCTGTCACTAGATGATCAAACGCGGTGGAACACAACGTTTGAGATGTTAGCAGCTGCGCTTGAATTGAAAGAAGTCTTTTCTTGTTTGGACACTTCCGTTCTGGATTACTCTGGTGGCCCTACGACAGAAGACTGGAAAAGGATTGAGACGCTGCATAATTACCTCAAAATCCTCTTCGACACTGCCAATCTCCTGAGTGGGCTCACAACTCCAACGACGAACGCTTTCTTTCATGAGGCTTGGAAGATCCAGTTGGAGCTCGCTCGGGCAGCGGTTAGCAAGGACCCATTTCTCAGCGGGCTAACCAAGCTGATGCAAGAAAGGTTCAATAAGTACTGGAATAGCTGTTGTTTGATATTGTCAATCGCGGTTATCGTGGACCCACGTTTCAAGATGAAGCTCGTTGAGTTCAGCTTCTCCAAGATCTATGGTGAGGATGCCACATCATACGTGAAGGTCGTTGATGATGGGATCCACGAGCTCTTTCAAGACTATGTGGATCCAAATGGTGGCAGGACTCGAGATGGTCACGATATCTCTAATAACAATAATAATAAATCAGGGCTCACCGAATTTGATGCCTTCATAATGGAGACGACGAGCCAGTTGGCGAAATCTGAGCTGGACCAGTACTTGGAGGAGTCTTTGTTACCCAGGGTGCACGAGTTTGATGTGGTCGGGTGGTGGAAACTCAACAGGATGAAGTATCCGACACTCTCAAAGATGGCCCGTGATATATTAACTATTCCGGTGTCGACAGTGACGGGAGAGTCGGTGTTCAGCACTGTGGGGCCCAAAGAGATGGACCGTTACCGGTGTTCGTTGCGGCCTGAGACGGTGGAGGCACTCGTGTGTGCCAAGGACTGGCAGCAGAATGAATCTGCAAGCAACAGCATTGCTGTATCGCCAATAAAAATGGAAGTCCCCATTTAGTCTCTCAATGTTTCTTTTTCTATAGTAGTCTTTGTAGGAAGTGGTTTTAGGTGCATAGTGGCAAGTGAATTTGTTAATCTAGAAATTGATTTCACCGTATAAACCTTTTTCTTGTTATCATAGAAGTTGTTGAATACTTCCTCCGGAGATTTTGTTTGGCAATTTACACCCCCTCCTATTGTGCATTGTTGTCCCTCTATCATAAATTGAGCAAAATAAGAGTATTAGGATGTTTTTACTTGGACCGTAATTCGTCCCAGACCAAACCAAATCAGACCAGTTCAGACCAGACCAGACCGGATAGTTATAAAAATACAAAGAAATCAGACCAATTCAGACCAGATCAGACCAGACCAGCAAATTACAGTCCAAGTAAAAACATTCTTAGTAATGTAATATTTCAGAAACGTTAACTATGACATTAATATTTAATGTTATGGTACTAACATTAAATGTCCGATAATGTTGATACCAGACACCGTAATCTTAGAAGTAATCTTAGAAGGGTTTAATGCACAAACCCCCTCGTGATATAGAAATTTAACGCATTAGTCACTTGTGATTTGCAAAATGCGTCAAACCCCTTTATGTTTTAATTAATTATGCACATAATCCCTTTTATGAATAAATGTAACAATTTGGAAATTTGACAAAAAAAGTGTTGTTTTTAATTGGCTACACAGTATCTTTCACGACACATATGCACCGTGCATTCACTTTTTTTGCACTAGAGATGTTCTAAGCGGCGTCTTCACGACATTGGATAATGGATATGCACAATTTTTATTGGATAATAAGTGAAAGGCCGTTAAGAGAGTCCTAAAATTTATTGTACATATCATAAAGTCATATGTACATATGTGTGTTGAATAAGATAAGGAGTATGGTTACTTCTACTTTAAAATATGACTTTTTAAATTTATTTTAGATTAAAAAAAATCCATTATATCTCTTTAAAATGTGGTGGACAAAAAATTACTTTCTAACTACAAATGAATATAATTGTGTTCAAAGTTTACATTGTAGTAACTTAGTTTACATGTAATTACTACGATACAAATTTTAACAAAATTATAGTCACTAAAAGTTACCAAGTAATATTCTTGTTCATGACTTTTTTATTAGTACTACCTCCGTCCCATAAAATTCTTCCCACTTTCCTTTTTGGATCGTCCCAAAAAATTATTCCCAGTTACCATTTTTAGACAATTTGTGTAATTCACATTCATTTTACCTTTTTCTTACACAACCACAACCATACATTTCCACTTTATTCCACTTTCTTAATATCCGTGTCAAGTCAAAGTGAGAAGAATTTTATGGGACGGAGGTAGTAATATTTAAGGAATCCCAAAAAATGAGAGGTTTATATATGAGTTATTGGTTTTAGGTGCATAGTGGCAAGTGAATTTGTTAATCTAGAAATTGATTTTACCGTATAAACCCTTTTCTTGTTATCATAGAAGTTGTTGAATACTTCCTTCGGAGATTTTGTTTGGCAGTTTACACCCCCTGCTAGTGTGCATTGTTGTCCCTCTATCAGAAATTGAGCAAAATAATAGTAATGTAACGCGGAGTATTTCAAAATAGGAGTGTCATATTTTTTCAACTAAATAGAAGTAATTATTATGCTAGAAATGTTAATTATGACATTAATATTTAATGTTATGGTACTAACATTAAATGCCTGATAATGTTGATACCAGACATTGTAATTTTAGAGGTTTTGACATATTTACTTGCATATTCAATTAGAATATGTTTGGTATTGTGGAGAAAAATTTACCAAAACATATAAAATTGTGGAAAGGTGGAAAGAGAAATGTCATAAAGTTAATCTTTTGGATCTATCTATCTCTCATACAATGGCTAGCTAAACATTTTGTAGATTTGCTTGCCACATCAACTTTTTCTAGCTAATTCGTTTTCCACCAATGTGATAGTCTAATGGTTAGCAACAATGTTGGTCTCTTGAATAGGCCACACAAATCAATCAATTACAAACTAATTAAATATATTTGGTAATTACAATTTTAATTCAAGTAGTTTTTTTTGGCTAATTTGCTTGTTGAGGCTAGAAGGAAAGATAAAGATACACTCCAATGGTAGATTAGTTGCTTCCAAATTGCAAGCAAGCCCCTAGAAACTACCATTGAGGATACTTTTAGAACATTCACATCCATGATTCTCACAATCTCATGTAATCAAAATTTTTTAGGGGAAAACAATTTAAGTACTCTGAACTACTGGGGGATGTGAGGCAAGCACCTCACATTTACATAAGTAATATAAGTACCCTGAACTTTATATAAAAAAAGTTTTTAGTATCATGATCATATGTTTTTTCTTTCGCAAATGTAAAATTATGGTGTTGAGTAAATAATCTAAACATTCTAAGCATTTTTTAGCGTGCAATTAATATTATAAACTTATTTATTAATGTTATTTATTTAAAATACTGAAGCTTAGATAATAACTTCATCCTTATAAATGCCCAAAGTATTGTAAATTTTATATTTTAACACTATAAATTTACATTTATAAAAGAAAAAACATATTATAATGGCGCTAAGATAAATTATATATATATATATATATATATATATATATATATATATATATATTAGGGTATTTTTATTGCATGTGCAAATTTGGGGTGCTTACTTAACACACCTTAAAAGTTTGGAGTATTAATTTTTTTCTTCCTTTTTTATAATCTTACCTTTAAATTAATATCGTGTTGTTTCATAGAAATAATGTCACACCTTCTGAATTACCTTTAACCACCATCTCAAAATAATCTGATCTTTTATGGGTCATGAATATACTAATTACTTCTAATTTCACAAATAATCTCAAAATAATTATAATTTATATTTTGATATCAAATTAGTTTGTAATACATTAATGCATGTCTAGTTGATGTTCGATAAAATCCACTCTTCACTCTAGTTGGCATGTGATCGAAGTATGTCGATTAGACAGAAGGATAAATTTTATCGGATAACAATAAGGCTTGCACTAATGTGGCGCAAAGCGTTGAACGGTGAAGCAATGTCACATTCAAAAATGAGTGTGGCAGAGATGCGCATGTTGTGTAAGATGTGTAGACATACCAGAAAAGTGTGCTTGACAAATGAGATAATCAGACAAAATGTGTGAGTAGCACCTATAAAAGATAAGATGCTGGAGTCTCGAATGCGGTGGTTTGGTCATGTGCGTAGAAGATCAAGTAATACACCTCTAAAATGAGTTGAGGATGGGGAGAAGAGGCGAGGAGGAGAGGGTGAGCAATACCCAAACAGACTTGAATTACAAGAATCAGAACTGATATGCTTCTTCTTGAGTTGGATGCGAGTATGTAGTTGGAAAGAGCAAAGTGGGTGGTGCATATTCGTGTGGACAATTGATCCCGATCTATTTATTCTCTTTCTTTTTTCTTTTATATTTTACCTTCTTTGTCTTTCTAAGCTTTTTTGGCAAAGTAAGCTTTCTGACCTATTATAGTATTTGTTTTATGTTAAGGTCAACATCCTTGAACTGGGATGAGTTCGAACCTGTGACCTCATTCGTGGGAGTATCACAGTGATGTCATCAAATGACACGGTATCTTTTACGTTCTTATGTTATTTTTATCATTTTATCTTTCTTATGTTCTTTTAACGTTTTATCTTTTATCTTTCTTATGTTCATATGTTTTTTTATTTTATCTTTATCTTACTTTATCTTTTTATTTTTCTTATCTTTCTTCTCTTTTTGACTCTGATATCATGAATCAATTCATGTTAACTGACCCCCGAATCTTTTGAGAGTTAGGCTTGAATGTTATTGTTGTTGTATCAGACCATTTTATCAAACAACCCTTCCTAATAATCTGATTAATCTCTCACTCAACCATACTCTAAATATAATGAGTCACATCATCAATATCATCCTCTAATAATTTCATATGTCCTATCTTAGATACACCATTAAATTAAGAGTCATTAAATATAACTTAAATATTAGCTTTTGTTTGACAAAGTCACTTAATGTTGTTTATTTTGTAGTTTTATGGTACAACGGGGTGATGTACCATACTCCTTAAATTCTTAAGGAGGTTGGCAATTCTATTATCCATTCCACCTAGTCCTAGGGCATTCCTTATAATTGGTTTTATGACACTTTTAATGCTTCCTTGTAATAATTTCCTTTCCTATTTAAATATGCTTCCTTTTTACCTGAGAACATTTATTAAAACAAATTTCTCATTATACTTATACACCCAATCAATGAGCTAATAATTGTCTCTTTGAGTACTTTTGGCAGATGATTTATAGTAAAGTACATTTGTTGGGGGTAGGTGAGTAAGCTATACCACACTATTGTAGGGTTTTTTATGAACCAATAATATTCTGTCAATGTTGTGGGCAGGTTGAGCTGGAAGAGTTTGATTTGGATGGGGGTAGAGGTAAACTTAAGAATTCAAACAATAACAATATAATTGGAAAAGTTAGTTTTGAGGCTATATTATTTGCTTCTCGGCATATTGCTACATCCGCATTTTAATTTGATATGTAATTTATTTGTTGGCTCATGTTCTTTTGAATATCTAGGCTCACTTTATCTCATGAGCAATTTTCATTCGGCTTGTAGAACAATCATAGTTGTTAAATTACACTACAATTTTCTTCTCGATTGACATATCTTGTGTGATCTAAATTTATAACCATCTCTTGTATAGGCCTTTTGAAAAAAATTGCGGTGTAGCTGCTTTGACTACAATTTGGAAATAAAATGTTGGTATTGATGAACTCATGAAAGCTTAAGAGTTTAGAGAAAACCTTAGAAGTTGAATAAGTTTTTAATATCATTGAAGGTGTTGATGAAGCTTTGTCCAAAGTGAAGCTACCTTTTGGACAAAATTCTACTTATGATACAAAGTTTAAATAGGTCCAACAGATTCTTCACCCGAGTTCCGAAGTTTATGGATTTTACCTCATTTCACATTCAAATTGTTTACTTTTTTTCAGTCATAGTCATATTCTAATTCAGTTTTAATTCTATTTCCTTATCCTTTTTTAGAATCAAGAAATCACCAATAAGATGGAATATAATCAAGAAGATATCTGTTGAAGCATGCTACTTCACCGCAAACGAAACCCACTAACGTTTAGAATTTTTTATGTCAATTTGGATTACAAAATAAATGCTTGTGTCGTTTCATACCATATGATTGTATAAAGTTTATATGCAATATCATTTAGTACTTATACATAGGGGTTGTTTACTTTTTTTCCTATTAAATCTTGTCTGTATTAAGACGTCTGTTTGATTAAGTGATGTTTGTATATGAAGCTGTTTATTTTGTGTGCTGAATAAAACATTTGGATAGAGTAAATTAATCAATTTAATATTATTATTATGTTATACGGAGTATTGAGAATGAATAATGTGATTCATTAACATACATCTATAAATACTAGCTTTCCTCCCTATGGAATGTAGGGTTTGGTTAGTCCACCGTTATTCTTCGTGCGGTGCGTTGGCTAATACGAAGACGGTCTTGTATTTTGTTTCTTGTTGATAATGGGTTTATATAACTAGTGCTTTGTAGTATTTAGCCTTGTTTCAACAACCGATTTTTTCCTGCTTTTCAAGAGTAATTATTGCAGACGCGTGGTGCGGCAAGGTTGGAGGCGTGTGCGGCATTTGCCCAGTGAACGAATCAGGAGTATGCGAACGATGGGTGACAGGGTGAGTCTAGCAAGAATCGAAGCCATGGAAGAATTGGTGCAAACATGGCAAGGTTTAGTCCTTGAAGAGGCGAAGGAGAGGATTGCTATTGATCTTGATGAGGATTCGGGCGACGGAGTCAACAAAGGGCTATGGTTTGCGGTTGTCGGACGATTGGTTACCGACAAATCCATCAAATTCCCTCTATTTCAAAGACTTGATGGCATCAATATGGAGGTCAGCTAGGAGAGTTTCAATAAAAGAGATTGGGGGAACATGTATCTTTTTACTTTTTTCATTATATGAAACGTGTCCTTGAGTTTGGCTCGTGATTTTTTAGCACAATCTGTTAGTCGTGCATGGCTTTACAGGATGGTGAATTTCCCCTGCCAATTCCGCTTAATAAGGCTAATTTCCGGATTCAAGTACATATTTACTTTACCTATGGGGTTCTTTACTTTGAAAATTGCAAAAAAAATTGGGAACTCAATTGGTAAATTGATAGATGGCAGAGGAAAAACAATTTGAGGAGATCTGGAGGCCATATATGCGGCTGAGATGTTTGTCTGGATATAAATAAACCTCTGCGCATGAAATTAAATTGGGTAAAGATGAGAGGGAATGATTTTGGGTAGATCTTAGATATGAGAAACTTCCAAATTTCTGCTTTGTGTGTGGTCTTATTGGGCATGCAGATTGTTTTTCTCCTTTGGAGTACAGTAAGAGAGCTGGTGAATTAATTCAACTTACGGTCCATGGCTGCGAGCTGCGGGTGTTAGAGGTATGGGAACAGGAGGAAACAAATGGTTGGTTCAGCCAGACACACAAGGTGGGAGGGGGGCAAGTATTGTTTCATATCAAAACAACATTTCATATAGAAATTGTTCTAAATAGAAGCAAAAACGTTTTGAAATTCCAAAATAGGAGTATCATGTTTTTTATTCCCCGAATAGGAGTAATCTGCCAAGTTTGAAAAAAATGCCATATTTTAAAGCCTAGTAATGCCAAACTTGGCAGAAATGTACTCCTATTCAAGGAATAAAAAACATGATAGTCTTATTTTGGAATTTCAAAATGTGTTTACTCTTATTTAGGGAATTATCTCTTGTTCATAATGTACAAATATATGGTTCATATAAGAGACTAATGTTTCAATGACTGCAATCTGAATTTGACCAATTGTGTCACGCCCCGGACCTAGCCGGACACGTCAACAACCCGTCGTACAGTACGAATAGTCAACCGCAGTCCAACTCATCCATACTATACAAGGCGTCATGAATATCATTCACACATAGTACATCCATAAACAACCATAATGTAAAACATTCATTTAAAACAGCGGAAGCATTAATACAATTGTTCAGGCCACACTTGGCATAACTAGGCATACAAGCCCCCAAAGTAATTATTCAAAAAAATAATATCCATGAGCATTATTTAAGTTGTTTCAAAACAGAAACGGAAGAAGCACGAACCACGTCTTCTCCCTCTGATCCTCCCGAAGCAACGGGCGGTGGCAGTAACCTTCAAGTTCTACCTGAAATTGTGAGGTGGCCTCCCCCGTGAAGGGGAGATCAGTACTTGGAAATATTTGACAAGTACAATAGCAACTATACTAAGTATAATTGATGTTTTAATTTCTAAGATCCTCAACTTAGGGTACTATTATGTTATAGGCCATAACCCTCGGTTGCCCCTTTTTCTTTTAACCGTACTTACTTTATATAGAGTCAAGTAGTCGGCCCGTGGGCCCATATTCATTTAGAATTCATCGTTTCCATTCCCCCGTGACCGCAAGTCACGATACCCCGTGGGGTCCCATCGAGTCCCAATTGTATAGCATGGGCTCGGCCCAACTACATTTCTATACAATCCTCTAACTCAATATAACGTATCCAAATTTGTATGGCAAGGGCTCGGCCCAACTACGTTTCCATACCAACCATAACTTCGTGGCAAGGGCTCGGCCCAACTACGTTTCCACGGAGATCACATATACATGGCAAGGGCTCGGCCCAACTACGTTTCCATGCTAATCATATTACATGGCATGGGCTCGGCCCAACTACATTTCCATGTCCTCCTAGAGTCCAACTCTAATTATTTTTATAATCAAATTCTCAAGCAAATCCTATGCCTAGAATCAATTTCCGTAGGTAGCCTTTAGGCCTACCCCTATCACACCTTAGTGTTCATACAATTCAACCTTAAAGTGTCTCTTAAGACTACTTAAGGCATACTCATTTACAATCCTATTTCTTAGGATTTAAATCCATCATTTATTTATATTAATCTCCCGACTAGTATTCCAACACTAGTCGGATAATTCTTATAACCCCCAAGTTCTTAACTCATGGCCAATTAATTCGTCTCATTTGATTTTCCAATCCAAATATAATTTAATCCAACTATCAAAAATATCACTTTTAACCATTCATGAATTTCATCCATGAAGTGAAAGTATATTTTATCACAATGTTATCATAGTTAATCTCACCATCATACCATCACTTTCATGTCACATAATCATACACAATTTATTCTAAATTTGTATATCATGCCTCATTTACTCATATCAATATTATTTTCATTTAGGCATTATTAATCATTAATAATCCATGAAAATCCCATCTAATTACTTTAGGCAATCTTATGAAATTAACTCACCAATTATAAGCAATATAGTCAGGCATCCTCACCTTATGAAGTGCTGAAATAGTTGCCTTTGCTAAGCTACTCGATCAATCCCCGTTCTAGGCCGATTGAAAGTGAAAAACTGGATTTCTGGGCAAAAGCCGGGCGGCTTTCACGAAAGCCGGGCGGCTTTCGTAGTCTGCAACTACGAACAGCATCTTTGGAGTGGCGGTTTCCGGCGATTTCGACTCCTATCGATTTGCCAACCCTTCTAAGTTAATTACCACCACTTTATATCAATATTCTACACTTTTAAACGTGTAGAACTCATGATTTAATCCACCATATGATTCCTTAAAAATCATACACAAAAACTAGTTAAAGAAAATACTAGTTGAGCTCTTACCTCAAACTCAAGCTTTTTTTTGGGATTTCCTTCTTCCTTTGGTTCTTCAAGCTCAGGGATATTCTGAGATTTTCTCAAGTCTCCTCCCTCTCCCTCTCTTGTGTGAGTTATCCGAATGATTAGAGTAGGAGTGGGGGAGTATTCTTTTCTCTCAACCCAATCACTCTCATGAAGAGTCCAAAGGGAATTAATGGGTGAGGGTGAGTTTGTCTCCATGAGGTTTCCCCTATTATTTGATCAATCAGCACCCCTAAAACGTGGGGTGGCCCCCACTTATGTGGGAGGTCATCCCATTATGTCCCGGTGTGTACAATCGGCCCCGAAAGTTGTATTTCTCGGACTGTTTTAATCATATTTTATTTTATCGGACCAAATAAAATATATCACGCGTTCACAATAATTTATGGGCCTTTAGAATGGATGTACATTCCCCAACATTAATTTAGGAGTCTCCGAAACTCGTTTCGGGCTGTTATCCGCTAAATTACCAATACCGGTAATTGGGTCCCGTTTGACCAACCGGTCAACTCCATACCTTTCTTATGGCCCAAATAAAATATCCACCACCATATAGATGACATCCAGACCAAGATGAATATAATATGTGGTTCGGGAATTATCGGGCGACCCCCCGGTCCGGACGTGGGCCCCACATGCAATTTACTATTCACGTAAAAGAATTAATAAAAATTTACATTTACGCAAATTCATAAATCACCTTCAAGGTTTATTACATAATTTACTAAAAGTAAATATGCTTGGGGACGATGCTACAAATTGAGACTAATGCTTTTGTAAACTGAACAAGTTTAAGATTACCAGTCCTCATGGAAGCATCTACTAGGAAAGTCAACGACCTGGTCCTGATTATGTCTGACCAAATCTCTCAAGTTCATATTTGTACATTCTCTACCCACACCATGCTCCTGTTCTTTCAATCGAAGAACTATCAACTCTGTTATGTAGTTGATTATCCCATGCTTTAGATATTTGAACTCAGTGTATATAATTATTAAGTTGAACTCTATGTACATTCTCTACCCACATCATAGTTGTTGCTTAAACCTTTGAACTCCGTGTATTTATATTAAGTTGATCTTTAAATCATTATACCAATTCGTTTATCCCAATCTGTGTAACTTAAATAAAAGCAAAAAAATATCTTAGAATTATGTGTAAGAAATATCTTAGAATTCTGTGTTGCCCCATAAGTCCATAACCCCATGGCATCCAACTAACTCTTTAAGTTCGTTTAATAACCTGATTTTTAGTTTATTCTAATGATTACCAAATAATTAGATTAAGAAGCTTTTCATTTACCTTTTTTGAGTCGTTGACTCAAAAGCATTTTATTAATCCTTATTTCTCTAGAAAACTCAAACAACAACCACTTTCACATTGCTTTCACTTATTCTAATCGTTTGCATATTCAGCTGAGTTGTATAATAATTGAGTTGTATAACTTTTTCTCTCATACGTAATGTATTTAGGTATAAGAAGATAAGATGACTAATAATTGAGCAACAAAATTTTCCTAAAAAACATGAAGAAGATTTTACTTTAATTTTCTTTTACTTTGAGTAATTGATGTATAGATTTATTCTTTTTGATATTCACTTATTCTACCCCATTTTTGAAATGATGTAAAATTGTAAAAAAACTATTTTTATATTTAATCATATCATGAATAAAATTATATATATGGGCCAATCGTTTTAAATTTGTACTTTGATTATTACAAACCATCTATCAAAATTATACCTTTTTATTATCTTTCATATGACATCAATATTTCATATATAAATAAAAATAAATTTACATTTTAAAAAACTTTTGTGTTTAAAGTGATATAGACATGTCAGAACTCAGAAGGACTCTGAAATGGAACTGGATTGATTGTCTAAAGGATTGAAGATCATGTCATTGGAGCAAGAATCATGTCTTAGAGCAACATTGGAGATGAGATTTACATACATCGAATGTGTATATCCCATCTCTCAATCACCGTGGCCTTTTTAAGCTTATCAGAAGATAATTTCCTATAATGGTCTCATATGCTATGACAATCAATAATTCTCAAGGATAATCACTGGAGAGAGTTGGATTATACATGTCTAGATCTGTTTTTAGTCATGGACAATTGTATGTGGCATTATCGAGAGTTCAGAACATTGATTGAAAATTTTAATACATGATTAGAAACATTAGTCTCTCATATGAACTAATTTATTTTCAATCCTTTAGACAATAATCCAGTTCCATTTCAGAGTCCTTCTGAGTTCTGAAAATCTAGTTTTTCCTGAAAATAAATCCCCCATGATAGAGAACTAGAGATGTGAAATTATATCTGCACGGGTAGCTCAGTTGGTCGAGTGGTGAGAGATTTGAATCAATGGACCAAGATTCGAATCCTCTTAAAAACCGGGTCAGATGGAGGTCACATAACCTGAAATAAGGCTGAGCTTCTGATGCGCGTGCCACTGAATGAGTCTAGTGCCACTGAATCACCGTGAATAATTAAATGGGTTGGGAGATTCCATGGATCAATAGAGGTGAAATTACGACTTGTAGTGCGCGTGCACATCTGCGCCCACCACTAGCTCTCCAGCCAGGCAATGCGGCACAGAGGATCCTCACACCAGGCGTTGAGTCTTCCTTGATTCCCTTTCAGTCTTTTTTGAAAAGTAATCCGTAATAATCATCTTCCGCACCCTCCTTCCTCTCTTTATATCCGCAAGAACTTAGCTGCCTTTATTGCAGGTTTGTTTCTCTCATTGCAGACTGTTACAAGAACTTAGTGCAGATTCGCTACTTTTAGGACTTGCTTTGCGCTCCAGTAGCATATTGGGCAGCTAAATTTTTCTTCTTGGTGTTTGGGTTTTGGATTCTCGTGGTCCCCTTCATGGGTTGGTGAGCTTCAAGAATATTCTCGATCTGTTTACAATTCTATATCAAGTGTTCGGATGTCTGAGCTGGGTGTTATCTGAATTTGGAAACTGCGGTTGAATTCTGGAGAGAAATTTCAGTCATGTCTATGATTTGAAAGCTCAGTCAATACTTTCTCAAATTAGGGTTCTAAGGTGGGCCATTCGCAGCATTATTCATCATACTGTTTGCTAAGATTGTTTATTTGGTGTTGCCCTAATTAGGGCATAGCTGAAATTCAAGCTCTGTTATGAAGGCTGGCTCAGACAGTTGAGGGACCTGCAATGCAAACTCTCTTTTTACTTATAAAAAAGATGAAGCAATTACTTGGAGCTTTTCCAAGAACGAAATTTGCCATGCTGTGTTTTCTGTTATTTGCCCAATTGCCAAGAATTTTATCTTCTGAGCTGCTTGAACACTCTAAAGCTTGCAGGACGTACCTTGTCAGCTATTCAGATGACCCTCATCGCGAATTATTTTACATAAATGGGGAATTATTTGACAAGCATTTATTTTGCAAAGCCTTTGTAGCTGATGCTTCAAACCATTGCTTCAGTACGGGGAGTGTTGGCTATCAGCACTGTGGGCTGGATTTCTTTGTAGGTAAATGTGCATTAATATACTGCTTCTGGTCCTATTTGTATGTTCATTTTGTTGTATTTCTTGATTCTTTTCCGGACCCTTTTATATGTCCATTTAGAAAATGTGTGGAGATTTAATTAATCATTAGTTATTTTGTTCTGGATTTACCCTTCAAAGAATTGTATGGAGCACATTGCCACATTGGATAACATTTAAAGAAACTCAAAACATATCGTGCACTGTATTAAACACATAATTGGAAATTATATTTAAAATTATTTTAATGAGTTTAGAAATGGAATTACTGGCCAATATATGACTATATTAAAGATAGTGGATAAAAACGTGACTTTTAATAATTAGTGACCATAGTAGTAAATGTAGTGATCATGATTCTGTGCAATTTTATATTGCAGTGACCACGGTAGTATACTCACAGTCTGTGTTTTGTCTATAATTATATTTCAATAATATTTCACGAAAAAACCCGTTGTGTAGGCAACCCATTTTTATGCTTACTTTTTAAAATTTTGTTGTGATATTTTTTCTTTTTTGCAAGTCCATGCAGTAAATTTATAGAGCTTTAGTTACTCCGCAGTTTGATCAATACACATTATAAAATATGTATGCAAAAATTGGGTTATAAAAAGTTGTTTTTTAGTTCATGAATAACGGCGGTTTTGGTTAAGACTAGATAAGCTCTGGTTTAATTTAAAAAGTTACTTAAGTTTCTTAATATGTGCAGTTACCTCAAAAAATTGTTTCTTTATATCTGCATAAGTATACTGAAGCTAGTTCTAATAGTTCTAATTGATGATGTTGTGTTTTGTCCTAATTACTTTCTTGCAGATGAGTTTACTTCCTCGGGCAGAAAATTTCTGCATAAATCTGTAAGGCAACGGTCCAATATCCATGTTTTTGTCAAAAAAGAGATGGAAGAAAAGCCGGATTCTCAAAACAGCTCTCCGTGGACCACAAAAAGAGTGGCTCTGTCTGTCTCAGCAATTTTTGTCTTGTGCTGTGCTGTGATTTGTCCATGCTTGCGTGCTAAAAGGAAAGAAACGTCTCGTTCTGTTCTTTCTAATGACCATAAGTCAGGTGATTTGATTCATTTTGATTTTCTATCATCTATAAATTGCGGAGAATAATAAACTGTGTTGCTAACACTGTGAAAGAGATGTACTTATGTTTTCTTAATCTGATTATCAATTACATTCACCACACTAATATATGTTTAGGCTCACTTTGTTTTTTAACGGAAATCTATTTTTAGATGAGTCTCTATCTCACCCGATTATATATATGATAGAGACATCGGAGATACGCCTATTAAATATTGTAATAAGGTGTATAAAAGAAGGAATAAAAAGGGGTAGTGAGTTAGTTAATTAGCCCGTTAACTAATTAGTATTCTATCCCTGCGGGAATATTGATATAAATAGAAGGTGAGCAGCTAAAATAAGCAGGTTGTTATTTCTGTTGGCTTCGGCTTTGGAGATTTGGGCTTCTCGAACAGTCCTGAGATTGTATGGTGTTCTTTCTGTTCAATAAACTTTCTGATCTGTTTCATCATTATTGTAGTTAGATCTACTCGTTTATATCAGTGGAATTGCAGACGCAATCTATCATTTATTCTGTGCGGCGGAAGGTGATAAGGATTCGGATTACCTCCGGAATTAAT